ATAATCAATATACTATAATAATAATAAATTTAAAATAAAAATTCAAAAAAATCTTAAAATTTATAAAACGTAAAAAAAATAAAAATTAAAAGTTAGAATGAAACTAACAAATACGCGAGTGAAAAAAATTATTGTACTAAAAAATAATTTAATTTATACATAAAATGTATACAAGACAAATTATGAAAAATAATAATTTAATAAAAAATACATTTTATTTAAAATAGCAATGTGGTATTATATGGAAATTAATAAATTCATAATTTTTTTATAGTTATGATTAATATAATAAAAAAAGAGAAAACTTTAATTTATAATTCAATTAAAATACAATAATAATATAATTTTTCACACTATTATGCAATTATTAATTGTTATATTGTTAAAAATTATTGACTTTTATAAAAAAAATTAAATTTATATTTTTTATAATTTTAATTAATTAATAATTAAAAAGTATATTAAAGTTATATCAAAATTAAACTATTGATTTTATAAATTTAACCATGCCTTGTGAGTGGACAAGAGAAATGTTTAGACTGACGGTGAAGGAATAGTATTTAAAATTCATTAAAACTTTTAAATATATATGAACTTAACTATTAATACAAAAAGAAAGATAAAATATTTAGAATATCTATTTCTGTCTTTTAAATTTATTTTTAATAAAATATTAATATTTTTTAAAATATTAAAAAATAAAAATTTTAGTTTTAAATATTTTATAAAATTTTTATTTGAAATAAAAGTACTAATTAAAATGTAGATAATAATATTAACAAGTAAAACTTTATCATTAATTGAAGTTAATAAGAATAGTATTTAATAATAATAAAAAATAAGAAAAAGGATACGTGTTAAATAAGAAGTTATGAAAATATTTTTAAAATTTTATTGATAATATTAATTATTAAAATAAAAATATATATTATATTACAGATAACATGTCACATAGTCAATTATATATGTCACTAAATATAATTTATATTACTGTTTATTAATTATTTAAATTTAAAAATTAAAATAATTAATAAAAGTAAAAATTAAATATTAATATAATATTTTAAAAATTTTAAAAATTAAAATATTTAATACTTGTTATCTTATAATCAGAATAATATTTAATCAGTTAATATTATATACATACACATATACTGAACATGTGTCATGTCCTTGCATAATTTTATTTTTTTCTTTTGATCAATCATGTATTTTTATAAGTACACATCTCTCTCTATCAACATTTTCTTGGACTATTATATTGTGTTTTATGGGTTTCGACACAAATATGTTTATAAATTGGTTGAATTTAATATAAATTATAAAAATACAGTCAATAAATTTAAATTTAAAAAGGAAAAAATGCTAAAACAAATTATTGATTTAAATTAAAATTTAGAGAAAATTTTGAAAATGAGTCCAATTTAATCTAAATTAAACGTATATGAACATATAGTTATATTCATGAAATTTATTTATCTATTGTAGTTACACAATTATATAATTATAAATTTATAATAATTCATTAACTTTTCAGAACTTTTAGTCTATTATATTTTATATACTTTTAGAAGCACATAATATGTAAATTATAGTGTACATAGTATAATATTAAGTATTTCTAAATTAATTTAATTTTTAAAAATATAATTTATGTAATAACAATTTCTTAAATCAACGACTAGTTTTATTTTTATTTTTTAAAATTAGTAAATGCATATACACAGGTGCATGTTCTTGTTGTCAAATTCCTTAAATAATGTAACATTAAATTGTTAGATAATAATGTAAAAAACAATCCTAATAGTTTATTAAAAAAATATTAAGAGGTTGTCTAAAAATAAAAATTTTAAAAGAAGCGGAGAAAAATTATTTTAAATAAATATATTTAAAATTAAAAAAAATTTCTTTCTCTTTTTAAACTTAATTTCTAAGGCATACTTTAAAAAATTATTTAAAAAATGACATTTTAGAAGAAAGAAGAGAGGAGGACAAAATTTATATTTTAATTAAATATATTTAAAAATAATATTTTTTAAAAATAAAATATACAAATTAATATATTAACAAAAGACTCAATGTATTAATAATATATTTTTCATCTTAAATAATATATAATTCTTTTAATTTTAAATTAAAAATATGTTTTTTTTTTTCTAAAAACTTCCTCTTAGATGTATCTTAGATCATCACTAAAATAGATAAATATATAAATATATATATATATATATGTGTGTGTATTTTTAAATTTGTTGAGTTAAAATTATAATATATTTTAAATAAATCATCAATACATCTTTACTTACTCGTTTTAAAAATACCTATACTTTAAAGAATTGTTTTTCAAAATTAAATTTTAAGGTAATTAACATTTTAAATTAAAAATATCAATTTAATCTTTAAAATTATTTTAAAAAAACAATGGTACCATGATTTTACAACCTTTAGTTAATTGACCCTTAAAATTGTATGACTGACCAAATTGGTTCCTATCATTATTATCTTGGTCAATTTAATCTCTATTGATTATGATTAGATTAGTTATTGCGTATCAAAATTAAAGAATAAATTGATTAATAATTGACAGTGATAGAAAGAAAATTAATAAGTCTTAATATTAAAGATTAAAATATCAACAAATATTATTTTTAAAGACTAAATTTAATTTTCATAATTTTTAAAATGAGCGATTATTATATTTTAGAATAAATTTAATAAATTACTGTTTTTCTTGAATTTGGTCGAAATAGAATAAACAAGGACAACCCTGTCGTTGGGTCATTAATGGATAGTTGTATTGTGTTTGATGGGCTTTGCTTTTTCTACTCAGCTTCTCCCCGCCGTCCTCCAATAAAAGAAATACAAAATAAAAAACTACAGGTGAAGTTCTCCTACACTTAAAAAAAAATTAAAAACACACATTTAGTGAGGTGAGTTTAGCTAAGTTACAATAAGAATCTTCATATGATTTTAAATATATTTTAAAGTAATTTTCTAATTTTTTTGGGAATCACTTGATCAAAATTTTAATTAATATGAAAAAATTAATTAATTAATTAAGTTTCAAGAATCTTATATGTGTAATTTTATGTTAACTTTGCGGTTTATAACACTAAAAGGTAAGGTAATGCACTTAAGGTGGAGTTATCAATTGACTTACCTTTTAACTTTCTATGAATTTGTAAGGAATATATTTTCTCATCTTCAATTTTTCAATTTCCATTGAGAAAGTCAGGTTTGTAAGTTTTGTGCTTTTTTTTTTTTTTTTCTTGATATATATTAAATAGTTGAGGTCTTATAAGAATTAATAAGAAAATCAAACAAAAATTTCCAAGTATATCATCACGTCAATCAATAATAGAGCGTTTATTGTCTTCATATATACAGACAAGAGTCCTTTATCGGTCGACGTAAAAACCTCAATGATTTTCATACTATTTGTGAATGATTTAGCATTAAGCCATTCAACAATGAATTATTAATTTGATTATATTAATAAAGTTATCTATTATAGGCCACAACTAGATCGATCGAATCTGTTGCAATCTATTAGGTGCATAAAAAATTGATATCCTCTTCAAACAACTCCCACGTTTTTTATTGGAGTGTCAAATAGATAAATGGAATAAATTTTAAATTGAATTATAATAGAAAAATAACAAATATTTCATTATTATTCATTAAAAAATATGTTAAAACAATTCACTTTATTTATAATTTATCTGATAAAAAATATTTATTCATTAACTATTTTTTAAATATAAATATTTAATATGTTTATTTAAAGTAATTATACTTTAAAGAAAAACTTATAAAATAAAATTTAATAAGACTATGCATGGATTAGATTACACAAAATCTATTTTAAATTTAATTATATAGATTAAATTTTAAATAAATTCATTATATATTTTTTAAAAATTAATTTTAAATTTTGAATTTAGTTTAAAACTGATATTAAATATAGTTTTTCACATTGAAACAATTTGTAAATCTAATTTTTTACATTAAATTAGTTTTAAATTTAATTTTTAAGGCAAAAATAATTTTTAATATATTTATAAATTTAAATTTTAAAGTAAAATTAATTTATTGTACCGTTATATTAAATTAGTGCAGTTTAAAAAGAATCATTGATAAAAGTTAAATTAAAATTTCTAAAAATAAATATCAATAATATTAAATAACAATAAAAATATTATGTTGTAATATTTATAAAAATTTAAATATATAATAATAATAACAATAAATTTAAAAAAATTTATTATATTTTTATCTTTAATATAATAATAATATTTTAAAAATATTATTTTAAATATTTTATCTGAATTATAAGAATTAAATTTAACAAAAAATATTAATCATAAAAAAAATTTATCAACCAAAAGTCTAATAAGTTCATGAAATAATATTTCAATAAACAATATGTATTTAGATAAATAAAAAATTAATTTTAAAAAGTGGATTCAAAATACTACTTTGATTAACAAAATATAGTAAATCTAAAAATAGATTAACATGTATCTATTTTTTTAAAATTAGTTATGAATTATATTTGCATAATTAAAATTTGTTGCCACTCCAAATATTCAACCATTCTCGTGTCTCTTAAATACCTATATTGAATACAAAAGTTAATGTATTGAATGATTTATCATTCACTCAATATATATGGTTATTTAATTTAACTTATTCATTAATTTCATTTTTATAATTAAATGTTCTTGAGTGAATTGAATGATTAAAAAATATATAAATAGATTGAATTATTGGAGGTAGCAATTAAATGATTAAAGAATAAATGTTTGTGCCCTGTCTAGTGGAGGAATGACGTGCAGATGCAGTCAATCAGTTTGAAAATGATTTGTTGTACAGTACAAGGAAAGACGGTAACCTTCTGGATTCTATAATTTGACCCTTAGCCACCAGCCTCTGCCTCGCTCGGAGGTAGGTGAACTAAGATGATATACTTGTGAAACACATACATACAAAGCAGAAATATGAGCGTGAATTTTATGTCTTGGATCCTCGCCATTTATCTACTTGTAATTCATGTATATTCACTGTTTCATTTTTCCTGCAACTCTCTATCATTGTTGGTTAATTTGATTAATTAAGAGGCATTTAAGCAGAAACAGTTTGTAAACAATAAATTTTTTTAAACCCTTTTCTTTCTCTGACCCAAACTGAACTCTTGCAGTGTTCCTATGGAGGCCGAGCCAGGGAATTGGCTGGAAAAGATAACAAATTGTTGGAAATTGCACATGAAGATGTTCACAACGTCTCTAGTAATATTCAAGATATATATTCTGGTCTCACTCATGGACAAGCCATGGATAACCCAAATAAGCTAGGCGATAATGATGATATTGGAAAACACATTGATCATCATGAACATGAACACTCACATGCTCATTTCACGACTCATATGGACCATATAGACCCTTCACTATTTGTGTTCTTCACTTTGAAAGATTTAAAGGTAGGGAAAAGAATGCCCATTCATTTTCCCAAGAGAGACCCAGCAAATTCCCCAAAGTTGTGGCCAAGAGAAGAAGCTGATTCTGTTCCTTTCTCATCAAACCAACTACCATACCTTCTCAAACTCTTCTCCTTCTCTCCAGACTCTCCCCAAGCCAAGGCCATGGAAAACACACTAAGGGAATGTGAGACCAAACCCATCAAAGGAGAGGTCAAGTTCTGCGCCACCTCTTTAGAATCCATGCTTGACTTTACCCATAACATACTTGGGTTGACCTCTGATCTCCAAGTTTTTGCCACTTTGCACCAAACCAAGTCAAGTGTCACTTTCCAAAATTACACCTTCTTAGAAACCCTCATGGAAATTCCAGCTCCCAAGATGGTGGCTTGTCACACTATGCCTTACCCTTATGCTGTTTTTTACTGTCATAGCCAAGAAAGTGGGAATAGGGTATACAGGGTTTCACTAGCTGGTGATAATGGAGATAGGGTGGAAGCAATGGTGGTTTGTCACTTAGATACCTCCCAATGGGCACCCAATCATGTTTCGTTTCAAGTGCTTCGGATCACTCCGGGAAGCTCCTCTGTGTGCCACTTCTTCCCAGCGGATCATCTCATATGGGTCCCCAAAGTACCATCCTACGGTTCTTCAAGCGTGTGACTTGTAGTAGCACATGCTTAAATGTGTACCTTAATGATGTCAAAAAATTAATGTACTGTACGCAGAGCTAAATAATGTAAAATTTTTTACATATATGTAAGAGAGTCTCTGCCTAGTAATTTTCAATCCCCATGTTTTTCATGAATCACTTCATAAGTTTATATATTTATGACCTGTTTGGGTAGCACACGCAGCAGTAAGTTACACTATTTTCAAGAGGGCATTGCTCTGTTACCCTTGTAGATGAAAGAGTTTCAGTCCCTCCTCATCTACCCAGCCATGAAATCAGAAATTACTATAACCAGCCACTTTCAGCCTGGAAATCTTGAATCACCAAAAGTTTGACCAGTTAAATATCCCATGTGTTTAACTAAATGATAGAGAAATTGTTATAATTATTGTATATTCAAGTTTAAAGGAGGATTGATGGGATATGTTGATGTTTAACAATCTGTAGTCAATTAACATAAATTATAATTGGGTATGTTTTGGCTTGTAACAGTAGATACGAAGCAGCTGCGGATTTGCTTATTAAAAAAGGGGTTATTGTGTACTAAAAAATTTCGGTTATGTACTGCCATTTGAAAAAACTTTCATCATTGACATTAAGGTGGAAGATGTCTGGCAACTGTGCTGGCACTGAACTCCAGTTATTGTCAACGGAAATGCATGCACTTATATAGTTAATAATTATACAAGACAACTTTATTAACACACGGTGTTATTAATCTATTGATTGATATTAGAAGGGTACGCTACATATTTCTTTCTTTTTCTTTGACAAGTAGAATCTCCCCTCTTAGGTTGAGGAATAGTTTTCGGCTTTTGTTAAAAGTTGACTTTGACGTTCACACAAAAAATTTAAATAAATAAGAACTATTACTTTTATTGATGCAGTAGAACCTATAACACTTACCAGAAATTTAATGATTATTACGAAATTTGTTAGGCAGACAAATTATTATTGAATATATAAGAGCAATTAACATATGCATTTTTGTTGTACTCTTCGTTGGTCAAAGGTAAAAAGTAAGTTAAAACAAGGCTGGATACCACTGTATAGTTTGGTCTCTCTAGCTTACGCTATGGAATAAGTCTTTCGAAACAGAACTCATAATTTCATATATGTTATAGATCTTATTAAAATTAGATATAAGAATTAAATTTCTCCAAAATAGGTGGATCCAAACACCTTTCTCTCAATGGTGTGTTAATTCATTGGAATGTATTAAACTTCTATCTTAGATTTAACATGTTATATTTTATACAATTATTGTGATAATATTAATATAAATTTTTAATTAAAAAAACACACACAGACACAGAAATTGCAAGCAGGAGTATTCAAAAGAAACTAGTGTTGGTGTTTTGTTGATTTATTCTTGTGTTTTTTATTAAATAAAATAGTTAACTCATGTAGGAGGAGAACAGGAATTAATGAGTTGATTTGCGCATCAGCCATCAAGCATCTCATTCCTAAGAGAAATTAGCAAATCTAACATCACCCTCAGCTAGCACCACGGAGTCTGGCGCGCGTTCAGAGTGTTTGATGGCGGCAGGGATTTGATGAGCCCTACTGAGGGGGCCATTGTGGAAAGGAGGAATGGGAGGAGGCCATGCTTGTCACAAGTTGGCTTCCCGCTTCTGAGCGGCGGCGCGGCGCTTTGGAGAAGACTGTTCCGATGCCGGCGAATCTGCGGCGTTGGACGGTGGGAAAGCACGTTTCTCGTCCATGCTTCAGTGCAAACCCGCTTCGTTTCGAAAGATAAGCGTCATCTCATCGCCAATTGCAGCACATTTTTCTTTTGTTTTTCATTTTTGAATTAGACATGATTTTACTCCGTCTTGTGAATTTAAAATGGTTTATATTTATATACCACAAAAATAGTTTAAATTTATGTTGTTTAGATACCTTTGCATGAATTTGAATGGATTTCTATTACATAATCCATTTAATTTTATGCAAAAACCTAAATGATATATATAATGAAAATTCATTCAATTTTAAGCATGTATTCGCACAAGAGTTGTTTTTTCACATCTTATTTTTCTTATATTTTTTCTTTCGTATCTCATCATATATGATATATCATATTTCTCATTTTATTTTTCATCTCCTTCTATCTTTTTCTTCCTTTTATTTATCTTACACACTCCTTAATAAATGCGAGACGAACATTATGTTATAATTAATTTGCTCATTAAACAAAGAAAATATGACAAGATAAATCACCCACTATTTAACATTGTATATATAGCTCTTAAAAAATATATGAAAACATAATAAATCATACCATATTATTCATTGAACAAACCTCACAAACTTTATTGATATGTTAGATCATCGGTCAAAGCTTACATTGATTCCACTTCATTTATTCGTCGTAAGTAGTAGCATTTGGCCTGGGCTCAAAATCATTTGTAAAATTCTTCTTTTTTCCCTTAGCATCAACATCATCATTGTCGTAAGCCGAAATATTTGGTCTTGGCTCAAAATCTTTCATAACTTTTTTATTTTCCTCTCCATTAATATCATTGACACCATAAGATAAAGCATTGGGTCTTGGTTCAAAATCTTTCATGACTTTTTTATTTTCCTCTCCATTAATATCATTGACACCATAAGATAAAGCATTGGGTCTTGGTTCAAAATCTTTCATGACTTTTTTATTTTCCTCTCCATTAATACCACGGTCACCATAAGCTAAAACATTGGGTCTTGGTTCAAAATCTTTCAAGATTTTATTTTTCCCCTTAGCATCAATGTCATTGTTCTCATAAGCTGAAACACTTGGTTTTGCTTCAAGTTCATCTACAAATACCTTCTTTTCTATGGTGAATTGTGTGTTTTTGACTAGAGATTCTTCACAGTTATGCTTTGAATCCTCAAGAGTTTGCTCTTGGGCCTTGAGATTCTTTTCAGATTGAATCTTCGAGTTGAAGTTAAGAAGACTCTGAATTTCTTCTGCCATGTTTTGATCTTTTAACACAATTTTCCAGTATTTGCCTAGATCTTTTCTTGATTCCACAATTGCCGTAAACTTCTCCAACATAAATAAAATCGAAAAGGAAATGAAAACAAAAAAATATATGATTAAAATGCTATTAATATTGCATAGTTTATCTTTAAAATAACAATGATTAGAAAATACGTTAATATTGCTTTTTTACTTTATTATTTTTAAAAAAACTATTTTATGGATATAATAAGATTACAGAGGATAGAATATTAGTTAATAGATGTATTATGTTATATTAGATATAAGTGCAGTTTGAATAAACTTTTCATTAAGTACTGTAAGAGTTAAAATTGGGTCATATTATCTATTTAATTTCTTTTATAAAGACTTGTCAACAATCTCATCCAAATTAGACTATATTATATATCTATATCAAACTCAAACTTTTATAAAATTAAAATTTACACCAGAGAAATAATAATATAAGTTCATAGAATAAATTTATTATATTTTATTAAATAAATAAAACAATATAAAAACTTTATTATATTATTTTATTTTATTTGTGTATAATTAGTGCTAAATTTAAGATGAATAAATATAACTATCCTGTAATATTGACAACCGTCCAACACAGTTCATTTGAGCCTTTATAGAGTTGTTTTGGAGAGGGGCCTTTTAAGATGGCCGAAATGAAACTCCAACAAGCAATTAATGAGTAAGCACTTGAGAAACAATGAAAACAGAAGCATACCAGAAACAGGAAGAGAAGAGGAAGAACAGCACCAGCAGGCTTCATTTTTATGATAAAAAAAAAAAATGCAAGATTCTATTTCTGACTTTGGGTTTGCATCGACGACACTGTAACCTCTGCATATTTATAGGGTTCACGGGAATAGGGAAAGGGAAGGGTATTTTGTAGTAATTTTCTTATATTTGTATTTAAAAATTTATTCGAATCTATTTTTTATACTGAGCAACATTTAACTCTCATTCTTATACTCATTGAGTATTTAAATTAAATTGTATACTCTTTTTATTATTTATAATTTAATCAAATAAAATATATTCTATACTTTTTGCAAATTAATAAAAAACAATAAATATAATATAAAATTATGATCAACGTAAAGAATATAAATATAACATGAACTTTCAATGATTAAGAATTAAAGATAAATATTATAACTTATAATATTATAGTTGTATTTTAGGGTAAGACTAAAAATATATTATGATGAAGAATTTAAATTTAATATTGCATATGTTTGTGAATTCAATCAAAACATATAAAAATTGCAAACAAAATTTGCACCACATTAAAAATCCTTAAATTTTATAATATTTAGTTTAAATTTTATATTCACAATAATTTTTAATTAATTGACCACCAAAATTTTTATACTTACACTGCGTACATTTATTAAAATTTATATGCATATAAAGGATGCAAGTACATAAATATGAATGTTATAATATCTATATTCATACACACATAATTTTACTAATATTTATCTATGTTTGTATTTGAATTCATAGATTATTACTTTATTATTGCACGTATTTTTTTTTATCATTATTCACCAAGTATTACTCTTGTTATCATTTTTAACATTAATGTGTCTCTTGTTGACATGCTTTTTCGGGAAATTTATTGAGTTTAGATCACAACTTTTAAAATATTAGATTTAATTGTACTTTTAATTTCATACTTTAATGCTTATTGATCTCAACAAATATTTTAAAAATAAATTACTAAAATAATGTTATTTTAAAATAACTTCATACTTTAATGCTTGAAGTGATTGTTACGGATGTATTAGAGCCAAAACTGCTAAGGACATGTAATCCAGGGTAAGCATCTGGATAATATGGAATGCGACGTGGTATACCCAAAAGCACTAAGAAATGCATGGGAAAGAGGCTAAGATTAATTAACCCTTCAAAGAGTGCTCCAAAAACAGATTTAACCTAAAGTTTCAGAACCAAAGATTGTAATAAAATCCTGCAAATAAAGCAAAAATGGCTCTCAAGTGAGTC